AAACGGCAAATCATTAATTTGCCTGCGTACATTACTCTCGATATCGTCACAATTTCCTTTCAAAGTTAATTTAACAATATCGTAATTTATAAAGTTTTTCGGTAGTTTTAACTCGATTTCTTTAATTAAAAATTGAGCACAGGCGTTGACGCTCTCGCTTAAACTGCTTAAATGTTCCAAGCGAGAGTTGGCGCACTTTACAATGTTTTCCAGGCCCAGGAAAGTTGACTTCTGCATCACTATCGCCACGGCGTACGTTCTTCGTTTCTTCGCAGGCGGTGCAGAATCCGTAGCTTCCTCGGATATATTTGCTGTAACGCGTTCCTCTTCGATTTGCTTATACGCCACCAATATTGATTTCGTACTGTAGGACGTGGTAAAATTAACGACGATGTTCTTAATGGTGACGGGATTCGGTCTTGATCTGCTATCTTCGCACAAATATTCAGTCATGATGGGCATGATTTCTTGAAATTGATGCCATGAGTCCACGTCGAAATAAATGCCATCCGCGTTGTTCCCACTTCTTAATTTCACCACTGGTGCGAAGATGCCTTCATCAGATGTTTGCAGTCCCACATGAATTTTTTTCGTATAGGAGTTGTTAAGTCCGTACGTTGTTGATAACAGCATATGGTACTGCACGTTTCTTCCCTCCTCGTTGAATGTCTTGCGAATATCATGACTGCTTGCTCTCTTCGTAGAATTATAAACAATTTGTTGGTTTGCCATTGCTCACTATGATGAACGACACTGTTGCTCGAAAAAGTCACTTCTGAGACGGAAAGCCAAGAAGCACAAATTTGCTTGCACACGAAGTTGACTCTTCGCACGAGGAGATTCGAATGAGCTCGAGTTCATAGCAGCTCGACGACGTCGACTCCGTGTCGCGGTTAAATAATGAAAAATTAGGCTGCGCGCGCAGTTAAAACTTGGAAAAATCTAGAATGTTATTCTTATTTAGAAGGTATGCGGGGGAGGCTGGGTATACGGAAAAATGCAAGAGTTAGAGTTTAAACCAAAATTACATTAAAGTTGGCGTAATAGTGGGGATTTTTGATAATAAAGATCAAATAAAATTTACATGTTTACAAACAGCATAATCATTTAAACATTAATTATAAGAAGCAGAGATACGAGCGAAAATTTAAAATAATTCCAATGCACGTGGATGAAACATGTTCATTCCTGTTTTACCTCTCCCTTCCGCCGAAAAAAGAAAGCGGCCATGAAAACGCAGTTTCGGACTTACTAAGTTCCAAATTTCTAAATCGGTCTTTAGGGTATTTAACAAAAGCTACCGGCGTATTCACTTAGAAACCTAGGGTTGAGCCCTAGGTAAGTAAGTGACAGACACGTCTGAAGAAAAGAGGACAATGCGCGGCACTTTATTGATGGTTTTTGAAAAAGTTTTGAGTAATAACTTGCTTGCTGAAAAGGAGGTAAAAATTTTTTGTTTGGAAGACAAACGGCTTTACTTACTAAGCACAAATTTCTAAAATGAATTTAGCTTCAAAGAAAATGAATTATATTTATTTTAACCGTCGATCCCCCAGGTAAATGACAGTCACGTCTGAAGAAAAGAGGACAATGCGCGGCACTTTATTGACGGTTTTTGAAAAAGTTTTGAGTAGACTTGCTTGCTGAAAAGAAAGTAAAAATTTTTTGTTTGGAAGACAATCGGATCTACTTACTAAGCACAAATTTCTAAAATGAATTTA